AGGGGGAGCCGCTTAGCGATCCTGCAAGCTATAGGCGGCTGGTTGGAAAATTAAATTATCTCATAGTGACTAGACCCGACATTTCTTATCCTGTGAGTGTTGTAAGTCAGTTTATGAATTCTCCCTCGATATATAAAATCGGCTCCAGGCAAAGGGTTACTCTTTGAGGATCGAGGTCATGAGCAGATCATTGGATACTCAGATGCTGATTGGGCAGGATCACCTTCTGATATACGTTCTACGTCTGGATATTGTGTTTTAGTAGGAGGAAATTTGGTGTCCTGGAAGAGCAAGAAACAGAATGTAGTTGCTCGGTCTAGTGCAGAAGCAGAATATCGAGCAATGGCTATGGCAACATGTGAGCTAGTCTGGACCAAACAATTGCTCAAGGAGTTGAAATTTGGTGAAATCAGTCGGATGGAACTTGTGTGCGATAATCAAGCTGCCCTTCATATTGCATCAAATCCGGTGTTCCATGAGAGAACTAAACACATTGAGATTGATTGTCACTTCGTCAGAGAAAAGATACTTTCAGGAGAGATTGCTACAAAGTTTGTGAGGTCGAATGATCAACTTGCAGATATTTTCACCAAGTCTCTCACTGGTCCTCGTATTGGTTATATATGTAACAAGCTCGGTACATATGATTTGTATGCACCTGCTTGAGGGGGAGTGTTAGTTTACAGCATGTATATAGTGTAGTATTGTCCCACATTGGTAGCTGAGTATATGTCCTTGTATAGTATAGCTATAAATAAGGACCTCTTGTATTGTATTGTTCCTCCAATATCAATAACATATTTTCTCCCGTGCCTTCTCACACATACCAAGGATAAAACCAACATTGAGGTAGACGATCAAGTGGTACAAAACGGAAATAATCAACAATTTATTGAAAGAATATGAGTTTCTACTTTCTACACAAAAAGCATCATAAAAGCCAAGTTCTGCTGATACGTATAAAATTAGAAATGAGCATTGCAGAAAATTTGTATTTTTATTTGATTCCATATTCTAAAGGGCGTCTTTTGTAAATATATACAAGTTATTTACAAATCAATAATCTAACTATTAAAAGTTCTACACACAGCTGAATTTGTATCGTAGAAGACCAATTTATATGTTGATAAACCAAAAATCAAACTCAACTTACACTTATAGGTCTTACAGTATAGGAACGCAGCAAAAGATTTGATAAGGTTCTTTCTCTAGTGCATCCATAACTTATTGATTACTACTTAATACATTTATATTTGTCTGAAACCCAATAAAGTTTTCCTTTGAATGCTGATTCGAGTTCATTAAGAAAAAAGTGATAGTGGAGGGTATCTTAATTATTTGTGCAAATGGAAATACGGAGGTCTGTGCCCTAATAAATTCAAACCACTCTGGTACCACTTGAATACACGCTCTTGCTGAACTGAGAAAATGGATTGTTTTTAGAATTATTCGCAAAAATTATAGGTGAGTCTAGTGATACTTTCTAGTAATGAAAGGTTTTGCTATTAGAAACTGATATTTCTGTTTTAAGTTGAATTTTCCAAAATTGTGCCCTATTTAAATCACAAATGAGCGAGTACCTTATTATAGTCCAGAAAGATATGTGAATCTAAAAAAATGCTTTAGGTTACCTGTTTGGTTAAGCCTCTTATAAGGCAACTCTTTTATAGATTGAAGTGAGTACATGCCTAAATCTGTTTTGAGAGAGAGATTCTTGGGTTTAGCTATGGCTATTTTTGGATTATCACTCTGAGGATATTAGTTGACCACAATGATTTGCCAATAAATCTTTAGTAGCAGTTGTGCGAGACACTCCACCTAAGAGCGGACCGCTAATGCGTTCCACGTTCCACCATTTTCATAACCAAATATATATTCCAATTCACATAAAATCCAAACTGCTAATAATGGTAGATTTCAATTTAGCACTCAACCAACTAGAATTTACCAGAGATTGCAATTTTTTGGTTATGAAAATGGTGGAATTCGGTCATCTAATTTAATCACTCTGCAACTCACCTAACCCACCGTTCTGTTTTCCTTTTTCTTCATCCCATCATCTCAAAATCCACATTTTCATACGCTCATAGCCAAAGTTTTATTCCAATAAAAAAATCCAATTTTAGGAGGGGAGGTACTTGCCCAGGTGCGATTCTTTTGACTGTCCAAATCTCTCTCTAGGGGCGATTTCCGGTAACACTATAGCATGATTATTTTTCAGATTCGTGCAAACAGCAGCAAAGCATTTTTTAGATTCGGTCGATTTTTTTGAATGGGAAAGGAGAAATTTAGCAATAGTAGAGGTGTTAAAGGGAGTGGTAAGAATTTAAGGCTACGAAAAAAGAAGTTTGGATTTGAATGGGGATGAAAGTTTGAAAACTCTTACCTCATTGTTATTCACCAGAAGTTTTTTTCTCTTTTTTTTTTGGGTTCTTTTCGGATGGGGGAGAGAGTAATAGGGAGACAAAGACGAAGGATTTTGGCCAAGTTTTATCCACGCAGCAGAAAACTATGCTTATCGGACTAATTAAAGATAATCAGTCCTTAATACTTTTCCGTGAAATAAGGGTAAATCTGACCCATTTTAGTAACGGTTACATAGTTCAGGGGTAAATTTAGATTTTTTCCCTAGAATATTTCACTCTCCTCTAGATTAGTAATCTCACGAATTTCCTGAAATAGAGGTTCTGCGAATCATGCAGGAGTTCACAATAGGCTTGGGTATAGTGCCTCTAGGACTTGACCAGCTTTAAAATTAGACTATTGTTAATATCCATCTCAAAAGAAATTAGACTATTGTTAATAACGACTTGCACAACATTTTTGGCATCAACTTCACTAATCTCCTCTCTCAGTAGACCATTGTGATCTCTCCTGAACAATGCAAACCTGAAAAAGTATGTGTCCATTTTTATTTACAGAAATACCATTAATTAACCTTCTATACTAGGCTTTCCAATTAATACTCGCTAATCGCTATATACATGCCTTTCTCAGACCAATTCCCCTTTAGTAGCTGCATTAACCAATGTCACCTTTCTTCTTTCTAAATCTGGTTACAAATAAAGTTATCCAAGAGGCAAGTGACTGGGGATGCTATAAGTTGCCGCAAAATTTTTACTTCAAAAAAAAAAAGGGTTGCTGCAAAATTGCTAAATCGGAAGGTAGCGCTGAAGTAAGATTCAAGCAACCAAGTTGAAGGCCTTCCCTGGGGATGTGGATGCGGATGATCTCCTTTCCAAAGTTTTCGAAAAGGGCTCTCTATGCTCACACTTTCGGTACCTTCGACCCTATTCCCTTTGATTCACAAGAACTAAATGACAAGGGTTTAGGTAATATTGGGTTGTGCATAGGCTCTTCTTTGCCACCAGTTTCTCCATTTCATTCGACATTTTGAGCCGTGGCTCTTTCAACTTGAGCTCTTTACTCATTTTGTCTATGCAAGTGATGATTGGTTGCCCTTTTCTGGTCCTTCACATTCCTCCACATCGGTAGTTGGCAAAGAGACTTTTAGTGGATGTGTGCGCAGTGGGTTTGGCGAGGTCATAATATTAGTGCATGTCTTTCAGTAGGACATCGTTACTGAAAGCCGGTGAATATTGCATGTCTTTCAGTAGGACATTGTTATTGTTTGTTGCCGGAAAACGAAGTTATAATGCTTCTTCTCTATTACTTTTTCGTGTCGTTTGATCAAGTAAAGCGAAGAAACTAATAAAGAAAAACTAAGAAAGCAAGAAAGAAAATTATAGTGCTTCTGCATTTTTGCTGTGTTTTGGCACGAGTATCTACCTTTTTTGATTGGGTAAGATACCATTTATCCCCACCTCCATCCCCTCTTCTCAATTATAATGGTTGATCTAATGAACTAATTGCAGGGGTTTACAAGCTTTTACCCTTCTACAAGGGTGAAAACACAGTTTTTGATGTTTCACCTTCTTCAATATCAATATCGGTTCAGCATGACCATGTAATAGTGCCAGAAAAGTTTCAGGTATAGTATTGCAATTTGTTTTGTTCTTACAAAGGTTTAAATGGGCCTCTATTGTGTTATGTGGGAATTTAAAAATTGTCCTTTTGTCTAAGTATCTGCTGAAAGCATGTTAAAGCTTCAGTTTGCTGCTACTTTTGTTTGTGAGGAAGTGTCTTAATAACAAGGTATTAGAACCATGTTGACTGCTTGTATTTAATTCTTTCAATTGCAACTGCCATTTCAGAGACACAAATTCTGTTGTTCGCACTTGGATAAATTGTTCATCGTGCACTCTATAATCTCATACATCCTTTTGGTGATAGGATATTTAAAAAATTTTTTTTGAACTGAAGAAGATTTTAATGCAGGTACAACTCAATACAGATCTTTCAAGGACTAAATAAAAAGATATTATGAGTTGGTTGCTATGGGCATCCATCTTTTTATTTCTCTTTCATATAAAAAAGCTACATATTTGTCTAATCAGAATATAAGTTTGAGTTATTGCAACTCTTTTCTATAAAAAGTATAATCAGCGAATAAAAGTGAGATTACTTTCAGTAAATTATTGATCACTGTACTAAAGAGCACACGCAAGCTCCCCCCCCNTTCCAATCTTTTCGTTGATTGTTTCTTATGGAAAACCTAAGGTAGTGGGTGGATGCTTTATTCGGTAACTGTACTCTTTTTGCTTGGCAAATTGGTTGTATGAAGTTCTATGTATTTTATCACATGTTCCGGGTCTTTGTTCTTTTAGAATCATTGATACGCCAGCTTCTCCCTGTAATTCCTTGAGCAAAGGAATGTGTCAAAATATTGTTGCATCTTATTTTTCATAGGTCACTGGATTTTCTGTTGGGGGTCGTGTGGTTGATGGAGATGGTAATGGAATTGAGGGTGCAGAAATTTTAGTTGATGGACAGAAAAGATCTATCACTGACAAAGAAGGATATTACAAGCTTGACCAGGTAATTCTGTTTGGAGCTATGCTCTAGCTTCAACGTTCTGAACATTGGAGGATTGGCAAGTTGTTGTGAATACTACCAGTTTTTTTTTTTAGCATCAGTCTTTCCTGACGTTGTCTGTGGTAAAATTAAAAATCCAGGTTACGTCTAAACGATACACAATAGAAGCAAAGAAGGTGCGCTACAGATTTGACCGGCTCGTTGACTTTTTGGTAAGTTTATCAACTGAGCTGTTTAAGAAATTTACAATGATGATTTGAGCGATCTATCTCCTTTTAGTGCAAAAAATTTGTTATATGGTCATTATATTCCAAATGGTTACTTACCGCCTCCTTTTTTGGTGGTTCCGTCCCCTCCATCCTTATATTGTTAGGTATTGCCTAATATGGCTTCAATCTCTGACATCAAAGCTGCATCATATGATGTATGTGGTGTTGTGCTAACAGTTAGTTCTGAATTCAAGGCGAAGGTATCGTGTTGCTCTTCTGTTCTTCTATCAAATTTGCAGCTTTCCTAGAATAGTGGTATGTTTTTCAATAGTGTTGTTTTGCACATGAAATATAGTTAAAATCTGAAATTACTATGTTATGCTGGTTGGATATTGCTTTGTGCTATGACCTTTTTCTTTACTAGTGGTGAGTTACTTTTTAAGAGATACTGCTCGCGATTCTGCAGATTTTATGTGAAATGAATTAGGTTGGTATATTTTAGTGGCTTAAAGTAGTTTTCTTAATTTTTTTAACTAATCTATATCATACACCTATCTCCTTTCTTAAAAATATATCATACACCTATCTCCAGTTGTTAGTTTTCTGATTTCATAGTTAGAAATTAAAAAATAAGTGCAGTTTCTTTTGATATTTCCATAGTCTTCCAGCAAATGGTTGTGTATGCAGGTAGCTCTGACTCATGGCCCACAAAACGTTAAACCTCAAGTGAAACTTACTGATGAGAGTGGCCATTTTTGCTTTGAGGTATGTCAGGGTGAATATTTTAACTTTTTCTGCTTCTTGAATACTTGCTGTCACAGTTATAGGATGCTGTTTTAAGTGAAATAGGATAATCAAGTGTATAACGGAATCATATCTGTTATAATCTGTAGGGTTTTTAACATACTTTTTCTGATTTCCACGAGTGTGTGGGAGGGTGCACGATGAGAAACCATCAATTATTGGTGCTTGTTTACGAAGACATGTTTAAGCGAACTTGAGTTTTACATCCTGCTTCAAATTGTCTATCATGTTAAATTATATGTACACTCTCAGAACTCTGAAGCTTTTGTGCCCATTATGTCCTGATTGTGAGTAAGATATTTAGTACTTGGGTTCTGGTGGGGGTACTTTTTTCTCCATTTTCTTTTGTTTGGTTGGAGGGTACTTCTTCAGTGTCTTGTGAAAGGTATATATCCCGCTCTTGACTTTACAAAGAGCAAGCACATAAAATTGTTTTTGAGAAAAGTCGCACTAGATATAACTAAACCCCATTTGTATAAGATCCCTCTTGAATCTACAAGATATCAAGGTTGAAGCAGAATAGGACTTTGGGTGTTAAAGTGTCACAGCTCCAAGGTTCTTTCAGTATTGGATCTTTGAGACCTTTTAGCATTCCCTCATCCTTTCAGAACTGATTGACATAAATTTTCTACGATGAAGTTTCTGTCATCATCCTCAGATGTAATGATACTTGAAAGTTTTTCACAATTATCTGTTTGAAACACATTAAGGTTTTATCTCAACTTGGCACAGGTTCCTCCTGGTGAATATCGCTTATCTGCCATTCCAGCAAAACTTGAGAACGCTCCAGAGCTTCTGTTTTCTCCTTCTCATATTGATGTCTCAGTTAGGAGCCCGTTATTGGATATCAAATTTTATCAGGTATTTGGACTATGTTAGAAAAATTTCAAATCCAACTAAGGACTGCTTTGGAGTTATGCTAGTTTTTCGTGATGTGTCAAACTAAATATCGAAGTTGTGGAATATGGTAGTAGAAAGTCAGCCCATCTAAATTCAGATAAAATGCTCGTTGATCACCTTATCCGAAAAAAAGAGGAAGTTAAATTCTTGTTGATCACTCTTTTTTTCTTTCTGAAGGCACAAGTTAGTATACATGGCTTTGTTGTTTGTAAAGAGAGATGTGATTCTTCAGTTTCTCTTACTCTTCTGCGCTTGGATGGAAAACGTATGAAGACAATTGGTTTGGCAAATGAGAGTAATGAGTTTTTCTTCTCAAATATTCTCCCTGGCAAATACAGGGTCGAGGTAACATCCACTTCTACGTCCTTTTTTCATCTTGTTTTAGGACACTTTGCATTTCGTTCTATTTACATCGCCAAAATGTCTTTTCCAGTGCTTTTTATCCCCCTTGTTATTAGCTAACTATATTTGTGGGGAATCTTAGTAGTCTAGTTGGTTGACGACCACAATATTCACCTTCTTGGTGAAGGTTCGATTCCCCACCTTGTAAACCCCCCCTCCCCATTTCCCGTTGGCAAAAAAAAAGAAAAAAGAAAAAAGAAAAACTATATCTGTTGATTAAAGGTTTGTGTTTTTCTTTTATTTTAAATTAAGCTCTGTTTTTTTGCCAGTATAGCGTCCGTTGGTTGGAAATTCACTTCGTAGTCCTCTAAGATGTTCTCTGGCTTTATTATTTTTGTGACGGCAGCGATGCATTCTCCACTCTGATCTTTTTTTCGCATGAGTATATGTTTTTATTTTTATTGCTGTGTTAGCTAGCAGCATACAAAAAGCTGGCAGAAGTTTTATATATACATATTATTAATTTGTTTGGGGCGGTTGTATACGGAATGAAATTTTCTTCTCACTTGCGTTTTTCCATGACCTTTTCTTTCGTGCTTTCCCTTTCTCCAAGAAAAATGCTTTGTGTAGAATTCAATATACAAGGAAGTTCATTTCTTTCTCTTGTTTAGGGATTTCAGGGGATCCTTTTCTCTGCCTAGGCATATCGTTGACCTTATGCAGGAGTAAATAGGAGATCGTTCTTGCCTATTTCTGCATTAAGTAGTGCATGTAATGTATTCATTTTTAAAGAAATACTTGTAGCCAGAAGTAGTCTAGCTGAAAACTACAATCTATATTGCATCTATCTATTCTTTGTTCAATTAGTTGGCAATGCATTGTGGTGTTCCATTTGATGATTATGTTCTTATTTTCAGGTAAAAAACAATTATCCGATATCATCAGGAGAAGATAAATGGTGCTGGGAGCAGAGTTTTATCAATTTAGAAGTTGGCACTGAAGATGTTAAAGGGGTAGATTTTGTTCAAAAAGGATTCTGGGTCAACATAATCTCAAGCCATGATGTGGATGGTTTGCTGACTCAACCGGATGGTTCTAGAATGAACTTGAACATCAAGGTTGGCTTAATCTAGCTCAAAAAGATAAATCTCTTAACTAACACAAGAAGCTCATTTTCTTTTTCTGGTTCTTGAATTGCAGAAGGGTTCTCAACACGTGTGTGTAGAATCTCCAGGAGCGCATGAACTGAGCTTTCCAAATTCATGTATTTCATTTGGGAGTTCCTCTGTGATAATTGACACATCTAGCCTATCTGTATGATTCTTTTGGGGTTGAATTATTCTATTCTATGATTTCAGGTATCATCTCCATGTTCTCATTATTTTCTTGTTTTTTATAGCCTATCTATTTGAAAGGGGAGAGCTATCTTTTGAAGGGTCATATCCATGTTGAGTCAAGCTCATTTAGTAGCATCGAGGGCTTGCCGGATAATATACCACTGGGCGTTTTGGACAGTGAAGGTTCTGTTGTTGGTGGTCTAACGTCAAAACTTGTGCTTAATGGAGTTGATCAATCGAGTGCGGCAGTCTATGAATTTTCCATGTGGGCTAGTGCGGGGGGGAAATTTACTTTTGTTCCTCGAGATGCGAGGTGTGTGAATTATGTGTCCGTTATTGATGCTTCTCAGTCATTTCAATTTCATTCTTTTTGTGCTCTCTCTCTCTCTCTGTCTTTTTTTCCCTTTCCGTGTTCTCTGTCTCTCGGTTTTCTTCTTTTTTTAAAAAAAAAGAAAATACTTATTTTGATCAGGAACTTCAAAGAATATGACCTAGCCTAAATAGAGGTTCATGTATTGATTAAATCCTGTGATTGATTTTATTCCTTAAAAGAAAGGAAATAATTTTTGTTGTACTACAAGTCTGCTTTTGTTTAGCTATGTATCTAAATAATTTAGCTATTCATGCATTTCTAATTGTTGTTACATGTTGCAGGGATGATGGCGGAAAAAAGATATTATTTTATCCTAGACAGCAGCATGTATGTGGAATTGCAAATTTTTATCAGAGTAGTTTTATGTATCTACTCTTAGTTTTGAAGTCTTTCCCCACTTTCTCTAGGTTGCCGTGACGCAAGATGGCTGCCAATCTTCAATTCCTCCTTTTGCTGGTCGTCTTGGGATGTATATAGAAGGATCAGTTTCTCCCCCTCTCGATGATGTCGTGGTCAAAATAATTGCTGCAGGAGACAGCCAAAGTGCTCCACTCAAGCGAGACGAATTAGCACTTGAAATTACCACAGGGACAGATGGCTCGTTTGTTGCAGGGCCTCTATATGATGATATAAGTTATAGCATTGAAGCTTCAAAGGTTTGAATGCTCTTGACTACACTCCAACCGCCGGAGTTATTCTTGTTTCTTCATATTTCTTTGGCTGCGTAGAATCGTAGATCGATAGCATCTTCAGCTTGTTTAATAGGTTCTTCATCCCTTTTTGAGTTATTTTTTTTGTTTTTGAGTGATATACAGTGCATTTGTACTGATGGTATGGATGTCTTTGATATATGTGCATTATTGGCAAAATAAGACTAAAAGTATCTTTTTGGTGTACTTCTTGTAAACGGGCACGATTGTTTTGGCCCTATCATTAATGAAAATTTTACTTGATAAAAAAGACAAAGTATGAACCAGGTGGATATCAGGAGAGTTGCTAGCAAATTTTTTCTTTCTTGTTGCTGTGGTTATCCTTGATTGCATTTTCAAACTTAAGCTGTCAGCTATTCCTTCTTGGAGCTTATTTGCTTACTAAGGTTGTGTGGACTTTCTTTTCTCTTTCTAGTGGAGCTGCCTAACATTTCCTTTTTTATTCACAGCCTGGTTATCATGTAAAGAAAGTTGGACCTCATTCCTTTTCTTGTCAGAAACTGGGCCAAATTTTAGTGCGTATATATTCTAGAGACGATGCAAACGAGCCTTTTCCATCAGTTCTCTTATCATTAAGTGGAGAAGATGGTTACAGGAACAATACGGTAACAGGTGTTGGTGGGATTTTCGTGTTTGGTGACTTGTTTCCAGGGAGTTTCTATCTCCGACCTTTGCTTAAGGTATTTACTCTTTATTTCTAAACTAACAGCTTTTCTATTATTGTCTTTGGATATAGATGCTGGTATATCTTCCAACATGATCGTTTTGATGAGTCTGCATTTGAGTAATAATTTCCTTGCTTAATTCTGATACTGTGATTATTGTCATTATGGTATTATAACCTGTAGCAAACTGTGAATTCGTATGGTTATCTTAAATGATGATTTTTTTCCCAATAACTATCAGGAGCATGATCTGTTTGATTGTTTACAACATCCATATTACAATTGTATTAGTTTCTCTAATGAGGGAATGATTGCTAATGTTTGCCTAGGAATATGCTTTCTCCCCTCCAGCAGAGGCAATTGAACTTGGTTCTGGAGAGTCAAGGGAAGTTGTCTTTCATGCAACCCGCGTTGCATACAGGTATATATACAGGGAATGTTCTGTTGCACAAATGTCGTAGCTTTTAATGTTAGTGAGTTGTGTGAGGTCTTGATTATTTGAAACATGCGGGTTCCAATCTACTTGGATGCTTCCGTCCAATCAATAACCTTTAAATATGAAGGTTTTTGTGCCTCTAGGCCTTTGGTCTAGTCAGTGTTGTGAAAAGCGCTCGCTTCAGCGCTTTAAGCGTGAAGCGAAGCGAGACGGCCACTGTGTCGCTTCTGTAGGGTGAAGCGTAGCAGGTAGGTTGAAGCGTCCGCTTTTGCCAAAAAAGCGAGAAGCGCTAGCGAAGCGAGAAGCGACGGAAGCGCTCGCATCAGCGAGCAGCAGAGCAAGCAGCGACTAGGGTTTCAATTTTCAAGCCCAGGTTTCTTCTCCTTCAGTGCTTAAAATAGCAGCGAAGTGCTGCCAAATTTTTTTCCCCTTCAGTTCTTTTTCTCATTCTCTTCTTCTTCTTCTTCTTCTTCTTCTTCTTCTTCTTCTTCTTATTTTTGTTTCAGTCCTTAAAACTGCAGCGAAATGCTGCCAATTTTTTTTTTCCTTCAGTTTTTCATCTTTTGTTCTTAGTCTCACTGCCAATTGTTTTAGTATTGGCAGTTACATGTGTTGTATGCAGTTACATGTGTAACATGTGTTGTCTATGCAGTATTTATTTTAATATTTTTCTTAATTCCGCTTCACTTCAAAAAAGCGAGCGCTTCGCTTCTCGCTTCACGCTTTAAGCGAAAAGGGGCTTGTTGCTTTTCCTCGCTTCACGCTCTTCACAACACTGGGTCTAGTGGTAAGAGCTCAAGGCGTGATGTGTGGGTTAGGCGCATGTCACGGGTTCGAAGCCCGTAGCAGACAGAAGGCTTGTATTTAAGCTGAGAGGGGTAGAGGAGCAGGCCTGTTATCCACCGAGTTTCAAACCATGCCTCACTGGCCATCGGGGATTCCTTAGCTATTAAAAAAAAAAGAGAAAAAAGGAAATTTAAAAACATTTAGTAAATAATATATGGCAGGACATGCAATGACATGAGAAGTTTGTATTTTGTTTCATTTGATCGTCTGTGTACTTGAACTCACCTAATTAATCTAATAAACGCTGAGAAGTATTAGCATTATGCATTAGCGTTAATAAATGGTTGTTTGACATCGTAATATAGTAGTAAATATTTGGTCATTCATATCTTCTCCGTATCAATTTTCAATTTGTCCATCCTTTAAAATGTTCTAAAATCTCTACCTATGGAGTGGACGTGCTTGAGATGCACCGAGGACAAATGAAGAACTAACAAGAAAAAATCAACAAAAGGAGAAATGGGGAAAGGTTTGGCATGTATCATAGTTGTACTGTTATTGCTAGTTCTTTGATGAAGGGAATTTGTTTTGGGTACTCTTTGCTACTTCTCTAATATCATATGACAAACTAAGTGAGGTATCACCAGCTTCAATAAAATTTCTACCATTGCTTAGTATCCTTTGCCATTAAATTGATATATGTAAGACATGGTGTATAAGATTTAAGTACACATATGGAGAGCTTTAGACCCCTGAAAATTCTTCTTGAGCAGCTACAAGCAAGAAAAGATATTTGACGTGTCATTTGCAATATTGTCACCATTTTATGTTGGGATTCAGATGGTTTGACTTCTTTACAGTGCCATGGGAGTAGTTATGCTCTTGTCCGGTCAACCAAAAGAAGGTGTTTCAGTAGAAGCTCGAGCGGAGTCAAAAGGCTTTTATGAGGAGACAGTAACAGATTCAACAGGATTTTATCGATTGAGAGGACTCCTACCTGACACTACTTATGTGATCAAAGTAGCAAAGAAAGTTGCAAATGGCGGATCTATGATCGAGCGTGCATCTCCTCAGTCTATGACCGTTCAGGTTGGTACACTTAATATTTTCATTTTTCTTTCATGTTTAGTTATAGTTAGAAATACGAGTTGTAGTAGCAAGTTTTATCTAATGTCTGTATTGGAAGGCATAGTTGTTTGACGTATTTTGCACGTGTGAACTTCATATAATTTGCAGGTTAGGGCTGTGGATTATAAGGGATTGGATTTTATAGTATTTGAACAGCCAGAGAGTACCATTTTAAGTGGCCATGTTGAAGGGCATAAAATCAAAGAATTTAATTCACATCTCCAGGTGGAAATCAAGTCTGCCTCTGACCCGCTGAAGATTGAATACAACTTCCCACTGCCTCTCTCAAACTTTTTCCAGGTGAAGGACTTGCCGAAGGGTAAGCACCTTGTGCAGCTGAGATCATCTCTGCCTAAAAGTACCCACAGATTTGAATCAGAAGTTATTGAGGTTGATTTAGAGAAACATACCCAAATTCATGTGGGCCCACTCAAGTACACAATCGATTTCAATCACCAGAAACAGGTATTTTTACTTTGTCTGTCAAATGTATTTTTGCTTTGGCGACTTACTGGAAATCAATATTCTTTTTATCGTCTGTCTTCCACGATTCCAGGAATTAGCCCCGGCTCCTGTATACCCTCTGTTTGTTGGAGTTTCTGTGATTGCGCTTTTCATTGGCATGCCAAGGTATCTGGGAAACTTCCATTCTCGTCTAATGATCTATTGTTATCTTTCTAGTTTCATTTTAGTGCACAGGAAATGAAACAAAATAATGTCTATTTCCTTGCAACTCTACTTGCAGATTGAAGGATTTATACCAAACCATGATGGGAATGTCTGCATCAGTATCAGCTGCAACTAAGAAAGATGTGAAAAGACCAATTGTGAGAAAGAAAACATACTGAGGATTTACTTATACCATTTTATAGGAACTTGAAGGTTGAGCTTTAGCGCAATAGCTCTGATGCTTAGGTAGGTGATATGATCTAAGAGCAGAGATAGTTCTTATTTCTTGATCGATTGAAGCAATCTTCACTGGCAAAAGGATCTTCTCACAACAACCTCTACTACGACAGAAACTGACAATGAGCTTACGAAGGCTTAAGTAGCTAAGTTCAATTTTTTTGGGACGTTTCTACGTCTAAATTTGAAATATTGTTGACGGATAGGGCGGATGATGATCACTTGTTAGCTGTGCTGCAAATTTTGACAATTTAACCTTGCCAATTTTGGATAGTTCCAGTAACTACATTTTTGTGATTCTATGCACATTTAGCTTTTGTAACTACTAACTCATCTCGTTCTAGTTAGGACAGCGACATTCAAATCCATGTTGCTTTTCTCTCTTCCTGGAAATTGGAATAGGTAATAAAAAGAGAGCAAACTGTCCCTGTTTTCTTTTCTTTTATTTTTTGGTGTATTGCAAGTGTATTGAAGGAGAGGAAAAATGAAACCAAAAGAAAAAGGGCAAATTTATGTTCTTTCGGTTCTTTAGTCTGAATAATTTTGGTGACGTAATTTTTTTTTGATAAACTAGGGCTGAACCGGTAGCTGACCCATGGGTCAATTGGCCCGGACCAGCTCATATATATATAATTGAATTCAAACATTGAAGAAAGATTATAGTACCATACACTATGAAGCGTCTTGTCGAAATAGTTGAATTCCATGTGTTAGACTATTAGTTTTAGAAAGTTCTTAAGTTTTAATGTTAATAAAGTATGATTTTTGTTTTATTTTTATTCTAATTGGCTTAAGGGACATGTAGTAATTTCAAGTACTTATATATGTACAAAGTTTGAAATTTTTACCATTTATAAGTTTTTAACTTTTTTTAAAATTAAATTGGATTCGGCCCATTAGGGTCTGGGTTAAGGGGTTATGGGTTCAGGTCCGAGTCGCATATTTTGATTAATGGGTCAAATCCGGACCGATCACTATAAGAAACTGAACCGGCCCAGCCCGGTTAAGGATCCATGGGCCAAGAGTCAACGAGTTCGGGTTGGGTCAACCTATTTACCGGGTCTAATTCTAGGGGAAAAAACATAACTAGGCAATATTTAAAGAAAATTTGCAAAACGATAGCAACATTAGTTAATTACATTTAAAATAATTCAGCCGGACAAGAATCAACCCCATTGCAAAACTATAGCAATTGTTCCTATTTTTTCCCTCAGATTTTTTGTCTTCCCTTTTCTAATGCCTTTCTTCTTATTTTCTTTTTGTATATGCAAAATTCTTCTTTTCGTTTCCTTCTTTGGAGTTTAAATTTGGATAATAACATATTATTTTAACATGTTATAACTTTGATAAGTGGTTCTTATATATTTTCTATTACAATGGTATATGTGATAAATTATATAATAGTGGTATATATAAAGTATAAAATACACAACTTTAAAGATTATGTATGGTATATTTTGTTTGTTTACATGTATTATGATGTATATATATAATTTATATGTGGTATAAAATACATATAAAAAATATATATGGCATATTGATGGAGTATTTACATTATAAATTATCACACATATAGTATACTTGAAATTTATTAAATTATATTAAAGATATATTTTGAGTAAAAATAAAATTATACAACAAAAAAGTTTAAAACTTAAAGAAAATAAAATACTAAAATTCCCATTGTGCAACCTCATTAAAGAGGGACTTATTTTTGTGATATTCTTCTTTCAAAATCTTTGATATATTTGGGTAAGTATTATTATGGAACAGAAAAAATATATATGGCATATTGATGGAATATTTACATTATAAGTTATCATACATATAGCATACTTGAAATATATTAAAGGTATATTTTGAGTAAAAATAAAATTATACAACAAAAAAATTTAAAACTTAAAGAAAATAAAATACTAAAATTTCCATTGTGCAACCTCATTAAAGAGGGACCTATTTTTGAGATATTCTTCTTTCAGAATCTTTGATATATTTGGGTAAGTATTATTTATGGAACAGAAAAAAAAATTTATGGAAGAGAGTGGGAAAAGAAAATGTAGTAGAAGTATATTGATGTACCAGAGAATACCTTAGTTAATGTACTTACCAAAGTGAAAGTGCTAAAAAAGTAAAACAAAGATGGCTATTATTTATGAGAATAATGTTTAAAAAGAGAAAATCTCCTAATTATTCCAATGCTTACGTTAGCCCTCCTGTCACGAGTCTTGTAAAGTTTGCTTTCTTCTGCTCTGTGACGAGCACCCTCCACTTCCAATCAAGAGGTTGTGAGTTCGAGTCACCCCAAGAGCAAGGTGGGGAGTTCTTGGAGGGAGGGAGCCGAAGGTCTATCGGAAACAGCCTCTCTATCCCAGGGTCAGACCCACTAGTGAGATTATATCGGAAACAACCTCTCTAACCAAGGGTAGAAATATGATCTGCGTACATACTAACCTCCCCAAACCCCACTAGTGTTGTTGTTGTACTTTCTTATGGTCGAACAAGAGTATATGTGAACTTTTGACTTTTGAGTACTATTTTAGTATTATTGTGATCGGGGTAGTTAAACAACTTTTTTTACTTAGATTTTAAAAATAATTTCTATTTATAAGAATTTTATTTATATATAGTACAATATGTAGTTAATAAACTTAATTTAAAAAATAAGAAAGCGTAAATTTACACTAAAATGTAAATGTGTTAACTCATTTTCTTAAGTGTGAACCAGTAACTTGAAAAGGACCAAGGAGCATATTAATGTTTGACTTTTCTTTCTAAAATTATAAAATATTAATTAATAAAATAATTAACTGAGTTTGCCATCAGGTGGTTTCCTAACAAGTACTCCTACTAATTTACAAGGAGAACGAACCTGTTTTGCTTGTATTATCTTTTTTATCTGAGGATAATTGTATATTTGGTCCGTTGCTCATTAATAAATTTTGATTTTGATTCTCGTAATAATTGTCTATGAACTTTTAACCTTCTATTAATTGAACAATGCAATTTTGATCCCTTTACATAAAAATATGTGATATTTAGACTATTTTTAGACTTATATTGAGCTTGAATATAGAGAAATTATATGAATTTGATATAAAACATTGATAATTAAATGTTCAACATTTAATCATTCGTTAAATTATTAAAGATAAGCATACAGAAAGGATAAGAAGTGCATAACTGCATATATCAATTCATTGAAGGTTAGATTAGATGTGCTTAATCAGAAATTATAATGGTAAATATTACACTTTATTTGACATTTTAGGGACTAAAAGCGCAAATATTTCCTTATTTTATTATATTCATATATATGTGGTGAGTTGATGCCACGTAAGCTTACAGCTAGAAAAGAAGCCGTACGGTCAGCCGGCAGCGGCGGACAAAACAGAGTAAGAGGAGAGAGAAACGATGTGGTAAGATTACACTGTCCGAAAATCCGACAGCAACACTCATCCCTCAGCTCTCTCCCTCTCCCCCTCTCTCTCTCTCTCTCTCTCTATATATATATATATATATATTTTCTCTCTCTAGAATCTTCTAAAACCCTATCCATCCTAAAAAAGCTTAGCTCCTTTTTTTGGTCTCTCTATCTTTCAATGGCGTCTTCCACTCCCCCACCCCACTGTGCTCTCACTACCTCTAAGCCCTATCAAAACCACCCCCTANCTCATTTGCTGAGCAGGCTCTTACAGAAGCTAGCAAAAATGGCGCCGTTTTGGACCAGGTTTTGTTGACTTTTGAGTCAAAGCTATTGGGTTCTGATGATTATACGTTTTTGTTTAGGGAGCTGGGGAATAAAGGGGAGTGGTTAGCTGCTATGCGTTGCTTCGAATTTGCTGTTCGTCGCGAAAGGAGGCGAAATGAGCAAGGTAAATTAGCTAGTTCAATGATTAGTATACTTGGTAGATCAGGTAAAGTTGAGTTAGCTGAAAAAGTGTTTGAAACTGCTGTGAATGAGGGTTATGGTAATACTGTTTACGCTTATTCTGCCTTGATTGGCGCTTATGCAAAGAGTGGGTATTGTAACGAGGCGATTAGAGTCTTTGAGACCATGAAAGATTCCGGCTTGAAGCCTAATTTAGTGACTTATAACGCGTTGATCGATGCTTGTGGAAAAGGGGGTGCTGATTTTAAGAGGGCGTCGGAGATTTTTGATGAAATGCTGAGAAATGGGGTGCAACCTGATAGGATTACCTTTAATTCGCTGCTGGCTGTTTGTAGTGGTGCGGGGTTATGGGAGACCGCGAGGGGTTTGTTTAATGAGATGGTTTATAGAGGAATTGATCAGGATATATACACGTATAATACATTCTTGGACGTAGCTTGCAATGGGGGGCAGGTAGATGTTGCTTTTGATATTATGTCTGAGATGCACGCGAAGAATATCTTGCCCAACCAAGTTACTTACAGTACTGTGATTCGTGGGTGTGCAAAGGCGGGGAGATTAGACAAAGCGTTGAGTTTGTTTAATGAGATGAAGTGTGCAGGCATAACGTTGGACAGGGTTTCTTACAATACTTTACTTGCTATATATGCTAGCTTGGGAAAGTTTGACGAGGCTCTTAGTGTTAGCAGGGAGATGGAGAGTATGGGAATTAAGAAAGATGTTGTCACTTACAATGCTCTTCTGGATGGGTTTGGCAAACAGGGAAGGTATGCTAAGGTTAAGCAGTTGTTTGCGGAGATGAAAGCTGAAAATCTTTCACCTAACTTATTGACGTACTCTACGTTGATCAGTGTGTATTTGAAAGGAGGTTTGTATCAGGACGCGGTGGAGGTCTATAAGGAATTTAAGCGCCAAGGTCTGAAGGCAGATGTCGTTTTTTATAGCAAACTTATTGATGCCTTGTGTAAGAAAGGCCTCGTGGAGTATTCTTCATTGTTGCTCAATGAAATGATCAAGGAAGGGATACAACCAAATGTTGTTACATACAATTCTATAATCAATGCTTTTGGTGAATCAACAAGCAATGATTGTGGATCAGATAATGTCACACAGATTGTATCCATTGTTCCTGAGAGTAAGGTGGTATGCACTGCAGAGGATAATATCATTAAGATTTTTGAGCAATTAACTGCTCAAAAGACAGCTAACGGGAAGAAAACTAATGGTGAAAAACAGGACTTGCTCTGTATTTTGGGTGTTTTCCATAAGATGCATGAATTACAAATAAAGCCTAATGTAGTCACATTTTCAGCAATCCTGAATGCTTGCAGGTATAATTTTCTTTCTCACTAGTTCCATGTTTTACATTGAATTGTGCTTTCCTTAATGCACCGTCTTTTCATTATGTGAGTGCTAGTATGATCCAGTGCTGTTAAAGACTCGCTTAAAGGGCGCTTAAGCGCTGAAGCTCCGTGAAACCTAGATTGTGTGAAACCCAGATTGTGCTTCGCCTACGCTTAATTGGCGCTTCAATGAGGGCGTCAAGGTGCTAAGGC